TGGGCTATCGACCCTTTCTGTCTCTTGGTATCCTGGCTTGCTCCTGGCCTCTTGACTCCGCCCTCTTCTCTTTCATGGCCCTGCTCGACTGCCAGCCATGTTCACTCCAGACTCCTCCGTATGCCTCTGCCTGCGAGCTCCCTTGTATCTACAATAAAACCTCAACCCTCAGGGGCAGTCGTGTCCTTTTACCTCTTTTTTTCATTCAATAAGAGCTTGAGCCTCAGTTTCCTTGTATGTAAAATAGGGACAGTAAGATGACCCACTACAGAGAGGAACAGTAAGGCAAATGAGACCACACTCATAAAGAAGAGCTTGGTGCCCTGGCTCCAGCTCTCAAGAGGACTTTCCAGAGACGGAAAAAGAAGACACCAGTGGACAAAGTGAACAGGAAGAAGGATGTTTATGTCAAGGCAAGTGGTGCTTCCTCCTCTGGGGCCCACAGCGACTGCTCCAGAGCTTCTCTTAACTACTTCCATTTCCCTCAAAAACACCAACTACAAACTCTGGGTACCTAACAGAACCAGAGCAGATGAGAAGGAACACAGATGGACTACCAATTTTTGACCCTGACATTCACAAGAATGCAAATTTTGACTGTTTCCTTACCAAACATTGCCCTCTTGTGGATACCTGTCACTTTGGGTACAAGCATTATCACCAGCCCCTAAAGCAGGGCTTTGGGCCCATTCTACAGACAGAAACTGGGGGTCCGGGCCTCCTCATCACAGGAACTCCGAACTGACCGGGAAGTGATGAGTACCAAGAAGTAGCCTGACAGAACAGGGTGCTGGGGATGCAAGCCCTCCTTACCTCTTCTGCCAACAGTGAGGAGCCCAAGCTAGGAAGGAAACCGGACAGAGGTTATAAAATAAGGAGCCACGGCAGGCTTTCAACAAAGCATTTTATTTGATGCAGAAATTCTAAGGCACAAAAACATCTTACAAATGTCAGCCATGACTGACTATCATCTATTTAGAGTTTTGTACAAATACACCACCAATATCTCCGATGTAAAAATATGGCACGCAGACACAGGCTGTCAGTGCTCACTACTCTGCCAAACCCCACAAAGAAGAAACTTAAAGGGTAACACAAACAAAGGCACTAGTCACCACCATGCCTGCAGGCCTTCCTCCTTAACATGGGAGCTTCGACAGCAAAAATATTTGTTTTCGAAACAGATAACAAGAATTAAAATTACTCTCAAAATGAACACTTTATATATTTGTATGGAATTTTCCCACTGCTGTCCAAACTTGACATGCTTCTTTGAGAGGGAGAGAAATGTTTTAAGATGACAGATGAGCACGTTTGCGTATAATTCAGCGGCAGTCGCGGAAGGCTGCTCCTTGACTCTTTCTGCCGGATTCTATGTGATATAAATATTAGCTGTGCAGTTGGAATGATTGCTTCTGTCTGTATCATCCACTATGCCTGCTCAACTGAGAGATAGTGCTCTGGTGTCTGTGGTCCTGGGTGAATAACAAGGATGGAAAAGAAAATGATGGCCAAAATTCCCCAGAGGCCCTCCCTGAGGCATTCAAAGGGGTTTGCAAATTGGTCCCCAACAGCAATGAGAAGGTGGCACTTAGCAAACCCCAGGTCTTACCTTGCCAGAGGTTCTGCTGTAGTGCCCACCATTTAAACAATAATATGATACACAAAACAAAGGTCAACTGTAGAGATAGGTAAAAAACAGAATCCAAAATTGGAGTGTAGGGTAGCTGCCACTCTGAAAGTGTCTTCAGATTAAAGGAAGACACTAAATACAACAGGAATAAGCACCAACCGCCTGTGGGGAGCAAGGACTACCACCAAGACAACAAGAAGCGGCGGCCATAACCCTCTGAATGCATGTCAGTGATATGACAGGTTTTTAAAGTGCCATGCTATTTTTTTCCCGTGGTGAGAGCAGCCAGGCCGCAGATTTCCCTGTAATCCTAACTGAGGTATGGCTGTCAGACGGCACCCATGAGAACAAGGCACTGGCGTCGTTGGGGGAGCAACATTGAGGTGAAGCTGAGAAGGGCTGAGAAGTGCAGGAACGGGGGTGGGGGGGGAGGTTGAGCCCCTGGAGAACAAGAGCTGAGAAAGGCTTTCAGTGGGTGGGATTATTTCCTACTGAAGAAACACCCAGGGATGACTTCACTGTGGTTTTCAGTACTGGGAAGGTGACCAGCTGTTCTTTCTCCTCTATACCGTAGACAAAAGAAAGCTGGCTTGAATTTCTGCAAGAAATTCATACCAAGGACTATCTGATCAGCAGGGAGTTACAGAATCTCCTTCCCTCTAGAGCCAGACTCTCTGCCACAGCCTTGCGTCTGGAACAGCTCAGCTGTCTTGAGCGGAGGGAGGGAACGTGCTGGGTGATCTAAGCCTCTCTCCTCTCACCCTCAAATTCTGAAACCAGAACCAGAGCTAACCGCTTACAGCCAGCCTTCTTTCGCTAACTTTCACCCTTGGATCTGGATAAGTGGTGTTATGACGAGGTTGACCAGACGGTCACCTGGCATCTCAACAACAGGAAATGCCTCTCTCCATTTCCTATATCCACCTCCAAGAGTTCTAGGCTGCAGAAAAAGGGTGATTCCAAAACCCAGCGTGGGGACGCTCTAAGAGAGTTTTTGCTGTATTCCCCAAATAAGTTTCTCCTAATAATATCTGGGTATAAGCTCAGAACTGCCCCCCACGTAAAAACATGATTACAACTAAAACTATAAATAAGGCACCCAAAGTCCAGGGATTTAAATGCAACTGTTGCCTGCAGGACAGTATAAATCTGAATTTAAAATCAACAGTTGAGCTGCCTTTCTCTCGAGACATGAAATGTACAGACACAATCAAAACATGTCCAATGCATTCAGAATCATATGGAGGCTGTGGGTGCCTGCCTGAGAGAGAGGCATCAGGAGTTCACAGCCAGCCTGGGCCACATGGGCAGGATTGCATCAACTTCCCTGAAGGACAGGGCTAGCCACAGCTTTTTCCAGGGCCCACACGTTTGTAATTACTGTAGATGGTTTATTTCACATCTTACAAAGCAGAAGTCACAACCTGGCAGTCATTGCGAAATTAGATCCGTTCACATGCTCTGCGGTCCTGAATTCACTTTAGTAGTTCCTGAAGTTTAATTGCCAATGTTTGACTTATTTTTTAATTAGTGCGTGTGCGTGCATAGGCACATGTGTGCACACCCTCACATGCATGCATGCACGTGTACAATCTGTGAGTATCTGTAAGTGCCACAGCCATCATGAGGAAGTGAAAGAACACAATTTTCAGAAGAGGGTGGGTTCACAGAACTAAACTTGGGTTGTTGGGCTTGCCAGTGCTTGACATTAACAGCTTAAAAATCAGAAATTATCAGGTTTTCTTGAAAACTGGGAAACCAGGTAACACCGCACGGAGACACTCATCTAGAATGTTCCTTGCTCCTGGAGGTTGGACAAGGGTGCCTCTGTTGCTCCAGCTGCCACCATGGCCTACCGTCTCCCTGTGAGGGGGCGTCATTGCCGCTTTCCTCACGCCTGAGTATGCTGGTGCCCCAGAAAGCACAGACTCTGCCAACTGTGAGCAGTCATTCCCAACAAGGAGGACAGAAGAAAAAGACGAGAAACCTTCACTTTGGCATTGCCTACCTTTTCCCAATAAAGGCAGAATGTTCTCTCTTGTGTTGAGGTAGCTAGGGATTTCATGTTTCCCTTTCTTTCTCCTTCAGGAATAAGACGGTGTCCCTGTTCCTTCTGAAAAACTCCCACAACCTGGAACCCTGTAGTTTGGAGGGGACAGTTTCCCATCTTACATAAAAGTTAGAGGACCTAAGATTAGAGGTTGTCAAGAAAATCAGTAACAAAAGCAATCACGTGGCTATGTGGTAAGTCTGAACTTCAATCCCACGTGAACTGGAACCCACACCTTCCTGCGTGCTGACTCCAGCGACCTCATCAACACTAGAGACAGCGTTAAGCTTCTGGCCCAGGACTGACTTCAGTTAGTCCTTGCCTGCTATTCAAAACCTTCAGATCATAACTTTAAGGCGCAGGCTCATTCTTGAGTCAGAATACTCTATCACCTGCCTACATCCCATTTGATCCCTGGGCCCGGGCAAGGATGACTTCTCTTTCTAAAAACCCATGTGCCCCAACGCCCCAAGACTCTGCATCCAGGCATCCCACTGAGGTGGTTCCTATTACTTGCCTCCAACTGCTCAGAGCACACCCCCTGTAGAGAGGTTTCTCAGCATCAGATGAACTTGTGGGAAAGCCTTAGATACAGGTCAACAACTACATCATCTGTGGCTTCCTGGCGCCCTGGTCTCACCCTGGCCTCGTTTCCAATGGACACCCTCTCCTTACCCACGCTCAGACCCAGCCTCCTCTTGTTTCCCCACAGCATCAAAGAGCCTGTGCCTTGTCAGACCTTCCTCTTACTCCATCCTACTGTCTCTACCTCATGGGACAATTCTGAGTCAAAAACCACAGCTCCATCCAGAACAGACACTTTGCCTTCATCTGCAGGGCCATTCTCATTCCTAGCTCATGATGACATGGAAGGGAAAGGGGGCTGACTAACAAAATTTCCCTTCATTGCCCACCGTCTGTCTTATCCTGAGTTAAGCAACCTTAGCTTCATCACTTGGCACATTAGAATCTGAGTCTCCTGGTCAGAAATAGTTGTAGTTCAAAATAAAAGCATCCAATCGCTAAATCCAAACCGAAACATCCCCTGATGATCCTGCCCTTTCAGACTAGCACATTAGGCTGCGGCTCATACGGTGTCCTCACCTGAATCCATGCAGTGAGCTTTCCGCCTGGGCCTTGCTTAGCCCTGTGCCTAAGGCCTCATGCTGCCCCTAGGCACTCTCAGGGGTCCCGTATTCTCTATCCAAAGCTGAGTGTCTATGCTAAAAGTGGTTTCTTGGGGGAGGGGGAGATGGGCTCTTTGTAGGGCATAAACTATTTCTTGGCCTCAGTTTAAAAAAAAAAAAAAAAGCCTCTCTAAAGATGTTCCCAGTGAACGGTCATACGTTAGCAATTTAGGCCCGCTGATCTCCTTCAGAGAACTAATGCCAAGACTGAGTCTGGTCAGGGGAGTCCCGTGGAGCTGGGAGCTCTGTCTGCTTGGTCTGGAATCCACAGTGACAATATGGAATGAACTTCCCTGCTGAGAGGCTGGTGTTCCGGTGAGACCGCCTCTCAGCTCACCCAGAACAGCTGCCAGTCGCCTGTACAGAGCAGGGGGAATCTTCCATCCAAAATACACACAGATCCAAAATACACACAGACCGCTTCTTCTCAGTAGGAGTCAAGGCTTCCCTTCCCGTCCCACTAAAAATCTGCTAGAAGGGAAAGCCCTGCTCATCTCCCGGCCACCCCACCTTGGGGTCTTTCTTAGAAATCCTCCTTAAGGCTGATCCTCTCTGGTTAAGGAATAGAAAAACCCTTCACAGTTCCCAGTAGAACGTTGAGAAAACAGACTGCCAACAAACATCCAACATCCAACATCCCTGACGATAACAGTGGAGAAGGACGCTCACACCAAGTGCACCAGGGCAAGAGGATGAGGGTTTCCATAGAGACAGCTGCATCATTATTACACCTAATTCATAAAGAGCATGTGGAGAGATGTTGTCTTTGGAAACAGAACTGTACAAGAGTCGTTCAGAAAAATACAACATTTACTTTTGTAATAATCCCCTCCTTTCTGCTCTCTACAAAGGAGGTTTGTCACTAGTCAAGCCAGTCAGCAGATTAACGGGCCACCACCTCCCACCCTCACGCTGTTGTATTTAGTAGATTTTTGACCTCTAACATTCAGGACAACAGCACTAGCCGAAGCACAAACTACAGCTTCCAATAACATTGTCCAGCTGGGTAATCGTCCTTCTTTCCAGCCATCACCGCCCGAGCTACAGAGCAGTAAACATATCCCAGAGAAACCAAACAGACAGCTGTGGTTCCCACATGATGGCTCCTTAGTCCTGGGGAAGATGCCCGGGTTCTGCCATCTTCTTCACATACGATGATCAAGATGGTCAACCTGCTCCATGGGATTCTATCCTGGTCAGCCATGTTTCCCAGTAATACAGAGAAAGTTTTCTCATAAAACGTGGCTGGGTAGACATTCAGCCATTGTCTGGACCTCTGACTCAAAATTTACTTAACACTCGGTACGGTGTTAAGTTTCACATCGAAACTGAATGGAAACTTCCCTTGAAGCACAATCCGGGTCTCAGACAGTACTTGATTGACATGTGTAGCTGGAATGATGTTCAAAGTGCTTTTTCCACAAAGCATTTTGAATCAAAGTAGCCGAAGGGGAATAGAAGTGTTGGTGCTTCCTACTTCTCTTTACCTGCTTCCCCCCCATGCTTCCCAGAGTGGGCTCCAATCTGAGGACCGGCTTCACACAGCCAGCTGCTGCCTGGTCTAAAGGAAGTGTCTTGCAGAGCACCATATGCTTCTGGGAAATCGGAGACTCGGGCTGGAGCAGAAAGGATCGAGGATTGGCCTGAATTTCACTCCGAATATCCTTGTGTGAACCTTACGCTCCAAGTGGCCGCACAACCACAGAGGTGAGCTGGGGAGCCAGAGCAAGCAGCAGTTAAAGTGGCGATGCTCAAACCCTTCCATGTCCTTACAAAGGGGCAACTGCTTGGAGTTCATCAGTGTAGTTGTGGCAAACATGTTCTACTTTGCACACCCCAGAGGCGAGGAGCTTGGAAGGGAGAGTAGGGGAATCCTCCTCACCTAAGGAGAGAAGAAAGGACAGAGCCACAGTTAGTGTATTTCACTGGTCCAGATCCCCATGACACGACATGGCTGGGATTCGCTCTTGTGCTCTGTACCAGTAAGGCAGCCATCAGAACCAGCTCAGATCAACTCTCTCATCCCCTTAACAAGATCTAGTCACCTTAGGAGAGAAAAGAAGAGCCTTCCTTCAGGGCTGAAGTTTTGCAGGTGTGACTCCAAAAAGTTATAGGTGTCACAACAGATTCCCGAGGCTCTCTGGGGAAGAGACCCCGCCTCCACCCGGAGTGCTATGTAAAGCTACGATGCAGAATACTGCACTTATGAACTTACATCAGGGCTTTGGGAGGAGGGTAGCACATGCTGCGGGTCCCAGCAAAGACACAGACCCTGCCCAGTGCATGTGTTTGGTATCCAGTCTTTTCCGAGTACAGAAAGGCAATGCAGGGCTGGTGAGATGGCTCAGAGTCAGGAGCCGCCACCCAGCCCAGGAACCTGAGTTTACACTGTGGAACTCACACAATGGGAGGGAATCTACTCCTACAAGGTATCCTCTGATCTCACGCCTGCGCCATGGCACGTGCCTCACCCCCACTCCCATCCCGTGTGTACACACACAGAAAAGAAACACAGCTTATCAAGACTATCAGAGTTATTATGTTATTTCTTATTAGGTTTCATTGTCCAATAGGGTGCCCAAATTGGGAAAAAGCTTTGATGGCATTCAAAAGTGTGGCCAAAGGCCGTATAGCCTGTATCAAGAGCCCAATCCCTAGACAGGCATAGTGGTGGTACACGCCTTCAACCCCAGGCCTCCGGATCTCAGAGTTTGGGGTCAGCCTGGTTTACAAAGTGGGTTTCAGGACAGCCAGAGTTGCAACCCTGTCTCAAAAAACAAAATAAAAGAAACAAACAGAAACTCAATAAATAGTTGACAGAAGGACGAGTGGATGGACGGGTGGACGGATGGACAGACAGACAGACAGATAGATAATAGGTAGACAGAAAGAATGAGGGCTCAGATAAATGGATGGACAAACAGACAAAACGAGGACACGGGTCCAGTCCCAGGGCATCTTACCTAGACCAGAGGAAGAAGATACACTCCCGGTCAGAGAAGATGTCTCCATCTGGTCAGGGGACAGCCCCTCCATCAGAGGCAGAGACAACTCTGAAGAGGGCACAGAGGAATCATATATGCCCGAGTCCCGCGGCATATCCGAGGAAATGCCAGCTTTCACTGCATGCAGCAGGGGCTGCAAGGCAGGGCCACTCTCACAGGTGGGCTGGGTTTCAGTGTCTTGGTTCAGGCCTGTACGCTGACTTTCCAGGTGTGGGTGTGAGTCAGCTAGCCTGGTGGCCCCCAGTAGAGAAGCCTCAGCTTTTAGACAGAAGTCACTCTCCGGCCCTGATTTGCTCATGACATCATTTAAAACCAAACCTGAGTCAAACTTCTCCAGGACTGGCTCCTGGTGGCACACAGGGGGAGGATGGAAGGGCAAAAACTGCTTCTCGAACCAATCAGGCTCCTCATCAATAAACTGGTGCATGTTGCAAATGGCAACATACAAGGAGCGGCCAGATTTGCTCCGGAAGTAGTTCCTTCTACTGCTATGCCCTGGCTGGCCCAGCCCCTGAAGGCTGTGCTCTCCTGAGTGCAGATGAGAACACAGCTCAGGAAGGTTGTCCATGAGCTTGTACTTGGTGCTCAGGTCCAGGACGCAGGGGACATCGCCTTCACAGGAGTAATCAAAGTAGACAGCGATAAACTTGCTCAGTGCCGTGGATGAACTCTGCTTGGCCTGACGAAGCTTTTCTGCAATGGCTGTCACGGCTACCAGGAAGAGCTCTCCTTGGCCCCCACCTCGACTGCCTCCTTTGTGTTTGTAGTTCTTCTTGTCCACGAAGTACTTCATGCCTTTGGAGCATACAACAATGATGAACTGGGACTCTTGGATCTTCTGAGTGACCCATTCTCTCTGCCCTTCTCTGCAGAGGCTGAAATCCTCCCAGAGGTCCAGCGCCACCTGGAAAGAGGACAGGTCACCTCACTGCTTGTTCACACCGACCACTGCCCAGAGAGAAGACTGGAATAACCCAGTGAGTGAGGTCCCATCACCTGCCCCTCAGCCATTATTAGCAGGGATGTGTGCAGGTTCCGGGTTACAGGTGCATGCACAGAGGAACAGCTGGAGCACTGCGGTTAGCCACTGCGTGCACACACCACACTTCCTGAAGTGCATGCCACCCATGACATCATCTGGTAACATGGTGGGTCATTAGCATTGCTGCCTGATAGGTGAAAAGAATGTCCTCATGGAACCCACAGCATGACAGAGAGCTCAGAAGAAGGAAAGAGAACAGTGTGTCGGATGAGTGAAGCTTTCGGATATAAGGAGTGGAAAGATCCTGCGGACAAGGCTAAAAGGCCTGAGAAGAAGATGTGGATAATGACCCCAGAATGTGCTGGAAATGGGGCTAGGACCTGATGCCATTGCTATCCACAGGACAGAGGACCTCTGTGGCCAGGTCCGCAGACCCAGGGTTAGCCCACGGTTCCTCCGCTGTAGTGTGGTTTTCTTGGTTCACCCTGTCTGGATTAAGTACCTTTCTTTACGGTGTCATAAAAGTCTACGGTGTCATAGCTCCACAAGGCCTGTGAACCATGAGGGTTTGGGTTAAGAGAGCCAAGAGAGTAGTGGAATCCCTGATACAGGAAAGAAAACCAAGCATGTCTAATCCTTTCGAAGGAATTTACCTTTCAAACTACTTTCATCCCATAATGTAAGGAGCCTTCCTTGGCAACGTCACTGACAGCATTGCTCCTGTAGTTCAAGAGTTCCTAACAGCTAAACATGAATCATACGGAGGAAGGACATCCTGGAAGGATTTCATTCTCCTGTTCTAAAATGGCACCCAAGAGAAGAAAGCCCCAATCTGCTGAAAAAGCTACCGAATCATCCCATGCTCCCCTGGCAAGCTAACTGGGTATAGTAAAAATCTGTTTCTATAGCAACAAAAGCAATCCTACCAGTCTTTTGATCTGTGTATTTTGTTAAATCATGTGTGACATATTTTACAAAACTGTAAACACTCTGCACAGAGCTGATTTCATCATAAAGTGTTTTTTAATATATATATTTCTATCTCTGACTGAGCAATTGCAATGTGAGATGTTCTGATGATCGAGAAATCATCAGAAATGGGCCAAGAACTAGGAAGTTTAACAATCTGGACTAACTCCGCTATGGTAAGTCATTATCATACATGATGTTGTAGCTATTTAAAAAAAAAAAAAAAACAACTTTATGTGCAATTTCATCTATGTACAAAAGAACAGGGCACAAACACACCACTTGTGCCTGTGCTATCCCAACACGTCAGGCCACAGGCTACAGTGGCAGTGTTTCTCAGCAGCTGTGTACCTGCTAGACCCAAGGCCCCACAGGAGGAAATCCCACCAGCTTGTAAATACATCTTGTTAACACCAGAGGGCGCTCCCATCAAAGAAAGGGCCAACTAGCAGTTCAAAAAAAGGAGGTAGGAAACATCAGACGATAATGGGGTGTGCCTTCCACAGTAGCTTCAGACTATACTCTAAAAATTAAGCATCACTGTCTACAGAAAAGCTACATGTTAATAGCTAAAAAGAGAAGAAGAAGAAAAAAAGCTGGGTATGGGGTGTAAGCTTTTAATGCCAGCACTTAAGAGAGAGAGAAGTCATGATCTCTGGGAATTAGAGGTCAGCCTGATCTATACATGGAATTCCAGAACAGCCAGAGCTACATAGTGAGGAAAAAAAAAAAACAGAAAAGGAGGAAGCAGAGGAGGAAGAGGAGGATGAGCAGGAGACGGGGAGAAAGGAGGAGGAAGGCCGGGCGGTGGTGGCGCACGCCTTTAATCCCAGCACTCGGGAGGCAGAGGCAGGCGGATCTCTGTGAGTTCGAGACCAGCCTGGTCTACAAGAGCTAGTTCCAGGACAGGCTCCAAAACCACAGAGAAACCCTGTCTCGAAAAACCAAAAAAAAAAAAAAAAAAAAAAAGAAAGGAGGAGGAAAAGGAGGGGAAAGAGGAGAAGAGAGAGCTAAGAAACCAGCACAGACACGCAAACACTTGGTAAATTATGAAGCTCTCTCCTTTTACTTCCTGATTCTCTCTAAACACCGCCTTCTCACACCAGTCAACCTCAGCCTTCCCAGTCCCCAAGATCCCTTCCAGGGGCAGCCCCGGACTCCACTGCCAGCAGAACTCCTGATGCTCCACTGAGGCTCTGATTCTGCAGGTGCTCACCATGCTATCAGGTGACAATCTCACATCTGGTCACATGATCCACGGCAGTGCACCCTTTTTCAGCACTTGCAAAATGTCCTACCATGTGCATGTCACTCAAGGGTTTCAAGCACGAATGTGTCATGTGACACATTTACTAATATCAGAAAGAACAAACTCAGACTGACTCTGGTTTGGAAAGTAAGGCACTGGGCGAAGACAGGTTTCCAGAACGCACTGAAGAGAAGGCACTGGAGAGGAATATGGATCTCATATCCTGCCCAGGGTAAGAGAAGAAACCGGATTCCGCACCTCACAACCACAGAAATCCTGGAGGAAGTGGGCGAAGCACTGGACCACATTCATGTGATTCTGGCCGTCTTTACTGGAGTAGCAGAGGAAGACCTTGGGTCGTGGCCAGAGCCTGTCTCTGGGAAGAGCGGCAGCGTATGTGGAGGACTCGGGGCTTTCTTCATCTAAATGTGAATATATATTTTCTAAATTGGGAGAGAAGACAAGGTTGACACCTATAAACAAAGCTTTGCCTTTTCCACATGACCTGGGTCTCAGTGTCTTCAGGAATGAACAGCTGGACTGGGGCCCAGGGGCCTACAACAGAAATCCCAGCACTTGTGAGGCAGAGGCAAAAAGGTCAGAAGTTCAGGACCATCCTCAGCTACACAGCAAGTTGGAGGCTGGCCTGGGTTACATGAGATCCAATCTCAAAAGTCAATTCACCAAAAGGAACAGCTGACATCTCCATCTAGGGAGTCTCTGGTCTCCGACTCCACCAGCCTCAAGTTGCACTGTGAACGAGAGTCAGTTTCTGCAGCGGTATATCAAAAAGTAAAAAAATAAATAAATAAATGCATTCAACAATCTTAAAAAGGTAAAGTGTACCAAAACTAACAAAAAGGTACAGCGTACCAAAGCAAACAAGCAAGCAAACAACAACAACAAAAAAATGACTTTTCTTTTGACAAAAGGTCTCGCTGTATCACCCAGGACAGCCTCCAATTCCTCCTTAGCCTCCCTCCCAAGTGGCTGGGATACCAAGCTTCTGCCACCATGCTTAAACTTAAAGGACACAAGTCTAAAGTGAGCATCTTCATGACTTTTATGTAAGTTTACAGCTGGGTAAGCTTAAGGTTCACCTACGGTTTTCTAGGTGAAATACCTAACTTATCAACATGACTCTGCTCTCATACCTCAGACCTCCTGAGTTTGAGAACTGGAGGATATGCCTGTCCATTGCCAGGTCCTAGAGATTACAAGCCAAATATCTGGATTCTGGGAACTTCTACTGAAGGAACTGGCAAGAAAGAATGAGGTGCCTCAAGCCCCTCCCGGAGGAACCAGGGCTTCCCACGCTCCATCTTAGTTGGCACCCGCCTGGGAAAGGAGAGGGCACAGCACAGAGAGATGAATACCTTGCTGTTTCTTTCTGCACATCACGGTGAAGAGCGTCGCAAACGCCGAGATGACGACCAGAGGCACAGTGATGGCCACAGCTCGGATGGGTCCCGCCCAGGGAGAGTGCACTGGGAGAGTCAAAGAGAAAGCTTTTAAACTTAAGCAGCAAAACAAGTTGGGGGGGGGTCCCCTTTTTGTTTTTAAGCACAAGCTGATCAACAGGTTCCAGGGTCCCCAACTACCTCACTAGTTCTGCTGTGATTATAAGAGGATCCAATAGTTCTTTTTTAAACGGTTGTAGGAAAGAATTCAATAGTTCTGAATATGTTGAGCCAGTAAATACCTGGGCATGAAAACTATGCCTAAGGAAAACCCCCTTTCCTACCGCTTTTCTTCCAAGGACAACTGCCTAGTCTCAGATGCCACGCTTTGATCTTCCTGAATGTGGAGGGAAACTCACTTGACGGAGAGGGCCTGATCTGAGAGAGACTGTGTTGTTTTGGAAGCCTGCTCTCGAGAGCGAGACACCGGAGGGAGGACGACGCGCTTACCTGGCCTGACCGCGTAATGCGCCACCTTCCTGGTTGTGTTGTTATCATCCACCAGCTGCGGGACAGAAAGCGCTGGGTTACCGCTGTTCAGGTGACAGCGCATGCGTCCACAAACTGCATCAACTGGTGACGTCACTGATTTTTCCATCACCAGGCAGTGGGAGCACAAAGGGAGAATAGTGGCGGCAGTTTTAAAAAGATGGAGCTGAGGAGACAGCTCCATGGGTAAAGGTACTTGTACAAGCCTGAAGACCTGGCCCCCAGGGCCTGCATAAAAGCCAGGAGTATAGTGTGAGTGTCTGGAATCCCAGGAGGAAGAGGCAGGACAAGTTAGTTTATTCAAAGTCATCCTCAGCTCCATGGGGAGTTTGGGACTAACCTGAGCTACATAGGACTCGGTCTTAAATAAACAAGCAAAAGACTCAAAATTTTATGGGAACTGCTTCCTACGGAGTAACAACAGGGCATCCACGGCTGTACAGACCTCAATGACGTAACCCCCTGGAGAGACATTCTGGAGGAGGCAGCTGCTTGTCTCTGAATTCTGGTCCTACAAAGAAGCAAACAGCAGTTCAAATGCTCCCATCTAGAAAAGGCCTCAGGCCTCTTCTTCCCAAAGCTGAAGGAGATTTGCCACTGGTTTGCACAAACAAAAACAACCAACCAAGGGGCCTTGATCTGCTAGTGACTTGGCTCAAGACCTGTTTCCCACTTCCTAGAGGTAAGACTATCAGTAATCAGGTGACCTCCCTGAGCCCCAGGTTTTCCATCTACAAAGGATGAATAGGAGGAATAGAAGGAAGCAGTCAGGATCCAAAGAGCAGAAAACTCTGGGATCGCCACACACACCTGGTAGCCACACACACCTGGTAGATGCTTAAAATATAATGCAAACTAGAAAGATCTATGCTTCCGACCCCTTGCTTCTGTGACACCCCAAAACAGTCAAAGTGGGGCTAACCAAGGGCAGTGGTAAGTCGGCTAGAGACAGCCCCAGTGGCAATCTCTAATACCCGCTGACCCTGGGAGCTTGACACCTACCCCAGCCACCAAACGTCACTTTGAAACAAGCATGTTCCTTACCTGCTTACATGTCCTCCGCCGGAAGGGGCCTTCGTGCTTGAGCTTATAGTGAAGGTAGAAGCCACGGAAGCCGAAGTTATGTGGCGCGTGGTCAAAGGACACTTGCACATCTGAGCCATGCTGGGTGATATTCAGATTTCGAGGCTTCCAGACTGGGGGGAGAAAGGACCCAATAAGCACCCTAATGTCCCAACACCATAATGGGGCAACACTTGGAGACTTAACAGAAAGCTGTACTTACAGGGCTTACAGGCCATGTTGTCAGGTTGCAACAACAGGTCACAGGCTATTGTTTTAAAGAAGAGAGAGAGAGAGACAGCTACTTTTAGTTTTAGGCCAGTTAGATGGTTTTCCTTCTAAAACAAATTATAACTATTGAACAAATATATATACTGGGCTAGTGTGCTGGAGAAGGTACAAAGCACATCAATTCAACAACGATTATCATTACAATCATGTTGTATCTTAACAAGATTTTAAATGATAAAACATACAAATATTAATGCAGAGCATTTCATGCCACCCAAGGGAAGCTGGGGAAAGCCACCGTGGTTTTTAAAGCTTGTCCGACATTGCGCGGCTTCAGGTTCCAAAGGCAGCGTAACTAATACCTTCTGTCACTCGGTGTGAGCCACTGTGGAGATGGCCACACACAAGAGGGCTCCTGAGGGGCTCCGGTAACCACACCGATGTCACTTCAACCTTCACCTACACTCTACCTTTCAGGCACGATTTTTCAAAAACACATTCTTTGAGTCTTCGATCTGATGAAAGCAACAACAGATGTAGCGTGCCCATGGTCTTGACCCAAAAAATATCATTTTAATGAGGAAAACAAGACATACAAAATAACTTGTCAGCACAGAAAACAACCTCATTAAGAATTTGACAAAAGGACTAGAGGGATGGCTCAGCGGTTAAGAGCACTGACTGCTCTTCCAAAGGACCCAGGTTCAACTCCCAGCAATCACATGGCAGCTCACAACTGTCTGTGACTCCAGTTATAGGGAATCCGGCACTCTCACACAGACATTCATGCAGGCAAAACACCAGTCACATAAAATAAAAGCAAAACAACAGAAAGAAAAAAAAAACAACTTCACAGGGTGGGAGGCAGAGGCAGGTGGATCCCTGTGAGTTCCAGGACAGCCAAAACTACACAGAGTTTTGGGGAATATTATTTTCTGGTGTGTGACTTTTGTTTATGCTGTATTTGTTTAACTCTGTGAAGCTGTGTTACTGTGCCTGTCTAAGACACCTGATGGTCTAATAAAGAGATGAACGGCCAGTAGTGAGGCAGGAGCAAGGATAGGCGGGGCTGGCAGGCAGAGAGGATAAATAGAAGGAGAAATCTGAGCGAACGAAAAATGAGAGAAGAAAGAGAAGAGGCCGTCAAGGGCCAGTAACCCAGCCAGTTGCGGAGTAAGAAGGAAAGAAAGGTATACAGAAATAGAGAAAGATCAAAGTCCGGAGGTAAAAGGTAGTTGGGATAAGTTAAGAAAAGTCGGCAAGAAACAAGCCAAGCTAGGGCTGGGCATTCATAAGTAAGAATAAGCCTCCGTGTGTGATTTATTTGGGAGCTGGGGGGCGGTCCCGCAAAAGCCAAAGGAGTAAAACATCTCAACCATAGAGAAACCCTGTATCTGAAAACAAAAAACAAACAAAAGATTTGGCAAAAAGAAACATGGATACAGGTTAGGGCTGAAACCAAACATCTCACCAATGAGGAAAACAATAAAGCCAGGCAAGAGGGTGCCAACCTGGACAGGCAACTAGCCATCCAAGACCTAAAGCCCAGGTGAGAAGCATGACCGGGGGCAGAGGGAAGCCACTGAAGGTCTCATGGTGACTAGCCACCAAATTTAAAAACAGCCATTCAGGGAGATGAGAGAAGCCACAGCCTGAATGAGAGAGGAGGACACCTGGACTGCCAGCAGGTTGGTAGCTGGTAGTGTGGGCTTTGGAACTGGGCTTCTAGTGCTCAATGCTCCACTCCCAGCAAAGCCCTTTGCCTTCCGTGTGTGTGTGTGTGTGTGTGTGTGTGTGTGTGTGTGTGTGTGTGTAATGTATGCGTGGGAGGGGTGGATTTTTCAAATTGCATTTGTCTATTTTGTATGTGGAGCACATGCATGCCACAGCCCCACATGTGGAGGTCAGGACATCAGTGGGCAACTTTGGGGAGCTAGTTCTCTATTTTCTCATGTGGATCCGGTGAACTGAACTCAAGTGATCAGGCTTGCTGGTGTGTGGGTCCCTGTGTCGCCTTGCCAGCCTGAGATAAAGCCTTTTAATCCCATCCTAACCATCCTCGTGATACCGTAACATTTTATCTTTCGGCCCTTCCCTTCGAAAACAAGCTCATACTTTTTATTCCCAGGCTGTGTTTTTGTTTTTAAATCACCTCTGCCATTTTTTTTTTTTAAAGAATGCTAGAGACCAGAGCCTTGCCCTTGCACAAGCTAGGCAAGTACTCTACAGGCAAATTACAAAAATCAAACCCGCCAATCAATATCACACTGCTTTTATACATGATGCATTAATGGTGATCACAGTGTTGTCAAAAGACAAGTGGTGGGCTGGTGAAAAGGCCTGGCAAGTAAAGGCATCTGCACCAAGTCTGAGCACCCGAGTTTGATACCTAGGACCCAGACAGCAGAAGGAAAAGACCAACTCCCTCAAGTTATCCTCTGACCTACACACACACACCATGGTGTCTATATACACCTACACACACACCTACACACACACCCCATGATGTATGTCTATAACCACACACACACACACACACACACACACACCATGGTGTCTATATACACCTACACACACACACACCCATGATGTCTCTATATAACCACACATACACACCATGGTGTCTATATATACCCCCCCCACACACCATGGTGTCTATATATACCCCACACACACACACACCATGGTGTCTATATACCTACACATACACACACCACGGTGTCTATATATACCCATACACCATGGTGTCTATATATACCTACACACACACACCATGGTGTCTATACACACCTACACACATAAACCATGGTGTCTATATACACCTATACACACACACCATGGTGTCTATATACACCTATACACACACATACACGCACACACCATGGTATCTATATACACCTACACATACACACACACCATGGTGTCTATATATACCTACACACACCATGGCACCTGCCTCACCCTGTACACATGTACACAAAATAAAAATAATTTAGCCAGGCATGGCAGCACATGCCTTTAATCCTAGTACTTGGGAGGCAGAGGCAGGTGTATCCCTGTGAATTCAAGATTAGCTTGATCTACATAGTGAGATCCAGGACAGCTAGGGCTATACAGAGAAACCCTATCCCAAAAATAAAAATAATAATAATAATAAATATTAATTAATAATAATAAATGTTTTAAAATAGCAACTGTCACCTGGCATGGCAGCACACGTTTGTAACTTAGGAGGCAGGGGAAGTAGGATCGTCATAAACTTGAGGCCAGCCTTAATTATATAATTAGGTTATAGAATAAGAAGACATGGTCTTCTTACTCTTTCTTCAGTTTAAGACCTGAAGAAAGTTTATTTATCTCAATAAATAAACAAATGAAAAACAATATGTAAATAAACCATCATACCTGAACTAAAACAAAGCAAAGAGAGGTGTCTCTGGTTGGGTCTGGACTAAAGGTTTTTGTTGGTGTGTTTTTCTTTGTATTGAGAGGATCTTGATATGCAGCCCTGTCTACATAGGTCAAACTGTCCAGATTTGCAGTCATCTTCCTGCTTCTCCCTCCTGAATGCTGAGATTACAGGAATGTGCCCCCACATCTAGGAAATAACTGCTAACCCAGCACATGCCAGGCAGACACTCCACCACTGGGCTATAGCCACAGCCTGCTAACCTTATTCACTCATTTTCTTCTTATTATTTTATGTGTATGGGTGTTCTTGCCTGCATGTATGTCTGTGCACTTTATGCTCTGGAGTCCACAGAGGTCAGAAGAAGGCACTGGATCCCCTGGAACTAGAATTACAGATGGTTGTGAGCTGCCACGGGGTTGCTGGGAATCAAACCCAGGTCCTCTGGAAGAACAGCCTGTGCCCTTAAGGGCTGAGCCAACTCTCCAGCCTTAGCCTTTATATTTGAAAACACATTTCTGAGCTGGTATAGTGGCTAACATCCTAACATGCATGAGGCTGAGGCAGGAGGATTGGCATGAGTTTTAGTCTAACCTGGGCTACCTGTTAAATTCCAGAGCAGTCTGGACTGTAGAGAGACCTCGCCTCATTTTTCTAATATGAATTTGCTTCTCACCCTGCTTACTTCCTATCAGTATCTGGTGTGCGTCTAAACACGTCTGCTGAGAGACCAGCAGAAGCAGAAATGACTCCTTTGGGAGACGGGCAGGAAAGAGCATACTCACCCCGGGTTCTGAAGAAGAAAGGGTGGTAATTGCTTTCATTTTTGATGGAGGGGAAAGGGACAATCTTGACAAAGTAATCTGTTTCAAATTTCATGTTCAGGAAAGGCTGGGATTCCATTCCCTAAAAGGGAACAAAGACACATATAGAGGAATTGTCCAGCCCACCCCCGTGTATGCACGAAAGGCCAGCCCTCCACACTGGCTGCCACTTAGACACAATTCCAGAGCCTAGCAGACCCCAGGAAAGCAGTCAGGTCTACTTGATGGACTGAGCTTTGCGTTGGGATCACTGATGCTAAAAACGTACGGTGTTGTCTGTCTGTAGACAAGAAAGCCATGGCACCTTAATACTGAGCCTCACAGCTGGAGGGAGCGAAGGATGCGCTCACAGACACCTGAGATAGCTGCTGCTTCAGCGTAACCAGAGAGGTGTGTTTACCACAGTTGAGCCCTGCTGAAACATTTTCCTGGGTGTGTGGCAGGTTAAGCTGCTGCCTCCTATTCTCGCCCACCTTGGCTGGGCTGTGGTCCCCATAGTGGCCCCCAACTCTCCAATTTCAGACTTTCAATAGACCATTCAGACCTCCGGAACAATGGTGTCTTCTGGAGCCCATTCCCCGAGAGTGACTTACCATTCTTTTGAAGCTACTGTTGAGCTGCTTCGGGTCCTTTAGAATCAGCTGCTGGCACTGTCTTCCCTCTGACTTCAGCTCCTCCAGTATTACTCGAAATCCTTTCAGGAATTCAATGCCTAGGAAAGCAGAGGCTTTTATGAAATGCAGACCTAATTACTTCTGAACACCTTCCCTCCTCCAAGGTCACATCCTCTCCAGCTTCACACCAAAGCTAAAGGATGTCTCCTCTGCCAGTGAGTTCACACAACAGAGCAACACACAACAGAGCAACGCACAACCTTCGCTCATGCCTCTGGGGCAGGCAGAGTGATCGCTATCACTGTACCTAATACATTCTCTAGAGCACTCGGCTATTGGGACAAAATATCTATTGCTTTTGTGACACCTGGATTCAATATTTAGGCTCAAGTCTAAACCGATCACAAAGACTATAATGGAATGTGTAATTTCAGGCACACTGAGCTAACAATAATTCCCAGTGAATGCCGCCAAACTTTGTTTTTAATCTCAAGTTTCACTGGGAACTTACAAAATTCCCAACAAAGTGCATGTCTGCACCCAAGAGGGTTCATAGGCTGTAGATTATTTTAGGGGAATGCGGTCTTGCCCTAATCATGCCTGAAATGCGGATAGCCAAGGGCTGCCCAGTGTGTGCTCTGAACAGAGCCCTCAGAGGCCCCAAGCCGCCCACAGAGCTACTGAAAGGCGCCGGCCCAGCCTCACCACCTGAGCTTCCTCCCACTGCACATCTGACGAGATGCTTTCAAAAGGATTAAGCTCTGCTGGCCACAGGAGCCAGCAATGGGGCTCTGTATCCCATGGAGACTGAGTGGACCAAGTGCAGCTGGAGATCCCCAAAGCTGACCTTGATTGTCAAGATATCGATTTCACATTCTTTCTGAACACCAGACAAGGAGACATTTTCAACCCTTCCCCTCCCAGGCCAAAAGTAATTACACAGGATGCAATTAACCAGGTGGGGAAATTATTGATGGCAAAGGTCACAGAAATCTTTTTCTCTTTTGAGCAGGTTCTCCAGTTCTGTAATTATTTGATGAAGAGAACATATTTCATGGTGGCTTGGGCAGAGAGGCCACAATTAAAGCCTCGTATTGTAGAAGCTGGTAGTGCTACAGTGCACGGCATTTTCAATCACAGAGCTTCCTGTGGGGAGAGAGTGGACCCACAGGGATGCGAACTGGAGGAACACAACACAACATCTCCCTAGCACCAAGTACTTAGCTCTCACGGGAGCTTGCCTTTTGAGATCGAAAAAGAAACAATGTTTGAACAAATCTTTACTACTTAAAAACTATGATTTATGTGCTGCTTCCAGAAAGACTGTTTAACAAAAGGCAGGTAGCTTGTAAAATTAATAAAGGCAAGCCTCCCCCAACGACTTAAAAACTGGTCAGCTCGGGTAAACATAGATGGATAGACCTGGGTTGTTTTTCAAAGGTCGGACTGAAAATTATAGATGATTGAAAATCGTAATGGCAAATATGGGCTGAGGGGAAACTGAGGCAGCAAACTTAATTCCCAACGCACATCTACCCTGAGCTGTCGACACTGTGAGGTTGCCTGAGGGCCACGTGATGCTGGAGAAACAGGCTCCCACACTGGCTATTAGCGACAAAAAGGGAGGTGGGTACCATGACTCGCATCTGCCGCGGACTGACTGGACCCTGGGGTCACGTGGTGAACAAAGGAAGCGCTGAGCTCTTGGTCAGTGCTGTTAATCCACAGGCTTTCCTAACTCCTGGGGCTGGAGAGATGGCTCAGCAACTAGGAGCACTGGCTGCTCTTCCAGGGGACCCAAGTTCAATCCCCAGCACCCACATGGCAGCTCACAGCTATCTATAACCCCAGTTCTAGGGAATTTGACTCCCTCCCAATACATATATATGCAGGCAAAATACCAATATACATAAAATAAAAAGATTTTTTAAAAAAAAATGGAAAGAAATCTGGCTTTATTTTACTTCTCCCTGGACAAATGCTGAAAAAAGGTCCAAGACCACTGCAAAGTCAGAGGGACAGTGGAAGGTTGGGACGCAGGTTCTGATGACAACAGCAGCTGCTCGCAGACAGCTTTCTCTGGTCACCGCCACCCCCACTTGGCACTCAGGGAAGCTGGGCCTCTAGTCTAAATGCCTCCCGTGAAAGGCAATCCCAGCTAAGTATGGCAGCACACGCAGAGGACCCAGCCTTTGGGAGGCTACGGCAGGAAGCATGGTGAGCAGTGAGCAGAAAGGCCAGCGCTAGCTACATAGCAAGATCCTGTCTCAAAAGACAAGAGGGAGCTGCTGAGTGTGCTGGCCCACACGTCTACTGCCAGCACTCTTGAAGTGGAGGCAAGAAGATCAGGATTTGGAGGCCATCCTGAACAACATGGTGGGTTTGAGGCCAACCAGGGATACATGAGATCTTGTCTCAAAAAAACAAAAGTTAAACAAAAAGAAATTTTGCCAATCAAATTCATTCAATAAAGTTAAAGAATCTTAGGTTAGGATGCTAGAGAAATGGCTCAGAGGTTAAGAGCACTGACTGTTCTTCCAGGGGTCCTGAGTTCAATTCCCAGCAACCTCATGGTGACTCACAACCATGGCTAATGAGATCTGGCGCCCTCTTCTGGCCTGCACACATATATGCAGGCAGAATACTGTATACATAATAAATAAATCTTAAAAAAAAAAAAGAATCTTAAGTTATCCTGGCTTGACCCTCTCATGGGTATCAATTCATTCAAAAAGACAGACTCAGTCAAACAAATTGGCCAGAGAAGGTGGGCTTGCTTGTTTGCTATTTCTTTACTTCACCCCGAGTTCTACTGGCATTAAAGGTCTTTTAAAAAATTTCAACTTGGAGGCCGGGCGGTGGTGGCGCACGCCTTTAATCCCAGCACTCGGGAGGCAGAGGCAGGCGGATCTCTGTGAGTTCGAGACCAGCCTGGTCTACAAGAGCTAGTTCCAGGACAGGCTCCAAAACCACAGAGAAACCCTGTCTTGAAAAACCAAAAAAAAAAATTTCAACTTGGTCTCCAACTCCAAAACTCACTGATTTTATGCTTTCTTAAGAAGAATTCTCCTGGGGTAAAAAACCGGGCTCGAGAGACGGCTTGGCAGTTTTGAGCACTGACTGCTGTTCCAGAGGACCCACATGGCAGCTCTTAAGTGTCTGTAAATCCCATTCCTGGGCGATCTGACACCTTCACACCATTGCACATTAACTAAGGTTAAATAAATCACACACACACACACAAAATGTTAAAAACAAAAACACAAAATGTGCCTAAGGTGGGCGCACACGTCATTGTGACCACAGAAACCACGTATGGTGGAAGCCAAAGCCAATATGCCCTTGGACAGGCCACGGCCACTTCCACCACCTCCCTTCTGACTAAGGCTAAAGCACTCAACTTGGGCTATAGAGTAAAACCCTGTCTAAAAGTAAAAATAAATAAATAAATAATCACCAATACATTATCTTTTCAAACTCACAATTCTCTAAAACAAGGAAGGAAACAAAACACAGACCTTGGGGCACTACTTCAAGCTGTGTGTGCCTGGCAGGAGGAGACAACAAGGCAAAGGGTGGGTGCCGTGTCCACTCCACTCTCAGCTTCACTGTCATCAACAGCTGCTGGCATGGAGGCCACCACACATGGCCTCTCACCCCACACCATCCATTCCCCACAGAGGAAATGAATGCTACCACTTACCAAGGGCCCCTGGGGACCAAAGAACCGTGACTGCCACTTGGTCCCGGCAAGCGTACTGGCTGATTGTGATGTTCTGGGCATCGGCAATCATGTGCTTCCCAACTGGATTCAAGTAGGTCGTACAGTCTAGAGAGGTGGGGAAGAGAGCGAGCACAGTTTAAGCTTTTAACCTTTATTTTCAATTTCGTCTTACCAGACTATGGAGAGTATGTCTACAGGTCCCAAAACCACTCTTAGTAAGAATGTCCTCAAGCTGGGCGGTGGCGGCACACGCCTTTAATCCCAACACTCTAGAGTTTGAAGCTAGCCTGGTCTATGAGCGAGTTCCAGGACAGGTTCCAAAGGTACACAGAGAAACCCTGTCCTGGGGGAGAAAAAGAAAAAAGAAATCTCCTCAAAAGCTCAAATAAGACAGTAAAGTTGTTATGGCTTAGGAAATACATTACAGAGGGATGTACCTGCAGCAACAGAAACACACCCTACTCTCCCGGATTAAACTGGACATTGCTAGGACTGTTGGACACAGGGCAGACTTTTGTGTGCTCATTAGCTTTCTTTCCCTACCCCTCTCTTACGCCTGTGACAGTTTACTGAAATCCCTAAGAACTTACATCAGCTCTACAGTTTCCAGCAGGAAGCAGTGACCACCTGTGGAGTGTGTTTGTTTTTAGAGGCCAAGAGGGCAAGTCTCTAGGGAAAAGGAACTAACACGTGGGCGTGAATCCCCAGGGAGTAATTTCACAAGCAAACTGTTAAATGATGGATACCTGTAATATAAGATGTTTGGGTGACAGGGATGACAGCTAAGATTCTCAAAGATAACCCCCATTAAATTACCCACAACCCCCATTAAATCTCCAAACCCCAAAATTAATAGCTCAAAAAGGGAAAAAAACCTTTGGTTTTGGTCTGACAGTGTCAATGTAGCCAACACGAGTGAGCAGCTGTATCATCTGGTATTGCTTAACACACCTTCAAAACTGGCCATAAGTTTGGAGGCAGAATCCTGCCAGAACTTAAGAGACCCTCCTCACACTACGGCAGCCACCCTTGCTGGGCAACCAGAACTTAAGAGACCCACCACACACTGTGGCAGACACCCTTGCTGAGAGACCTGTTTACTGGCTTCCCAGGAGATATCAACTCCCGGTGTTCACATTGCCTCATCTCCATTTCTTTCTTATGACTCAACTTGGATCCCTCTTCTGCACTACTGCAAAGATCCTTCACACCATCTACCTGCACCCAGAGGACCCAGAGCATTTCCTGGGTGAAAGACTCCAGGACGGTTCTAAGGAGCTTAGTCAGTCGCTGTATTTCTCCCTCTTGCGAGCTGTGCTCATGTCCATGTTTATAATGAAACACGTTTGCTGGAGGCATTTGAAAACACGAAGGGATAAAGAACAATGCAAAAGTCATCCTGGGCTGGAGAGATGGCTCAGTGGTTAAGAGCACTAGCTGCTCTTCCAGAGGTTGTGAGTTCAATTCCCAGCAACCACACTGTAATGAGATCTGGCGCCCTCTTCTGGCATGTGGGCATACATGGAGGCAGAATGTTGTATGCACAATAAATAAATAGTCTTCCACGCTCTCGCCACACACAGGTAATGCGGTAGATTCCAAAGAGTGCCTCCCGAGCCTTTCGGCTTAATCATCTTCTTCTTCCTCCTTCTTACTGAAATACAAGTGTGCGCTAGCTACACACCCAACTTTTCAGACTCTAGTTTCTGCAATACCTACATGTGGCTTTCTTGCCTAACCACATCAGGTATGATCCCCTTCTTACACTTCAAGTCTTAAAAAAGTTTGACTTGTATGTCAATATTAGAAGGATGTTCATAGCTCTAAATTCTACTTGGCCTAAACCATGACTCTTGGGCTAGAGGGGAAGCTTAGTGGCTCAACTGCTGTCTCTACCAGGACTTGGCCTGGAAATTCAGACCAGGTGGGCATGGGGGCTGCACTGCAGTTCCAGCCTTGGGAAGCAGAGACAGGGGATCCCCAGATCAAGCAGGCCATTGAGACTGACTCCAGCAGCAAGCTCTGGGTTTAACTGAGATCCTGCTTCAGTGAATGCGGTGGAAGGGTGATCTACGATGATTCTGACATCAGCTTCCAGTCTCCACGCACACAATCAACCACATGCGCGCACGCGCACACACACACACACACACACACACACACACACACACGCATCTTCACCCATGTGGGCCCACACACATGCAATCATGCATACAGGTATACACACTGTAGGCCCATATTTCTATATGGTATGGCAACTAAGCTATCAAGCCATAGGCCACACCTGAGAAAGGTCACATAAACTTCCAAACAGACTGTCACTAACCTAACAAAAGGTCAGGATGTGGTTTTGCTCCTTTCTTTGTAATTTGGAGGATGCCTGATAGAGATGTTAATTCGAGCCTAGTGACAGCTAGCATACACAGCAGATAGGTAGATGCTGCCGTGATAAAAAGCGATTCACCTGGTTACCTAGGAGATAGAATGCTAATGCATTTCCCCTAAGTTAAGTTTTGGTATAAAGACTGTTTGGAGAATAAACAAAAAGAAATTTTTCAGGATGTGAACTCAGGATATCATGAGGGATCTGTGAGAATCTCCCTCCCGATGAAACCATATGAGTCATGCCTTTATTCCCGAGCCTCCACGCTGGTCCAGAGAGAGATAGTTTATGTTGGGGTCTGGGAGAGAAATAATTTACGGTCGGGGCTCGCACCGGACTCCAACAACTCACATGAAAGTGGAAAAAGGGAAAGAGATATGCCCTCAAAATAATGCTGCTCCCTGAGTACAGAAGGGAACCACAGAACAGACCTGGGGGTGACAACTAATTCAACATCCATATTGTACAAAGTCGAAAACTTCTTAGAACTTCTGGCTAGTCTTAGGAACCACATCTGGCTACACCCAGTGGGAATTCTACAAGACCACAATGAGTTGGAATTAAGAAACCAGTGGCCCCTTCAGACCAGAGAAGCTGCCCAGTTTGCCAGGTTCCATCCTTGCCTCCAGGCCTACACTTGGGTAAATTCACTCCATTCCCTGGTAGGGACCTACTGACATCTGCATTTGTTCTTAAAGACAAGGCTGTGTCCTAAGGGCAAGTCTTCACAGGAGAACTTTCTGAAAAGCATGGAAGACACTTGACCTGTTTGTTGTTCAAGCTCCCAAATACTTCAGGGGCTAAACAGAAGCTGAGCTGCTGTAACTGTTGAAAAACCCAAACAGGTTCAGAAAATTAATCCCAGGATCTGCGGTATCCATGATGAAGCACGAGTGTGCGAACTCTGGATTTCTGAACGAAATTGCCTGACTTCTTCTCTGCGGTCAGGCCAGTTACTTACTGTCATATCTGAAGGTGATGTTGTACAGCCCGCTGCTTCGGCTGGCCAGCCCCACTCCCTGTGGGAAAACGAGAACATGATGCAGAGTGAAGCCAACTTACTTTCCCAGCATCTAAATGAGCAAAGCACTGCAGAGGCCCAGGGTCATGCCAGTCCTATAGATGAGCTCCTCCTCGCACTGTTCCATGACCTACCCACCCCCACTCCAAACACCCTCCAGTCCAAGGGATCCCTACCCACTAGGGATCGTGGGCACTCTTTCCCCTAAGACAATAGAAACAGACTGGTCCATGCTTAGGGGTTAGGTAATTCATTAGCAGTAAAATTAGGCTAGAGACCAGGGCTGCCAGATGGAGCCCTTCCAATCGGACCCTGATTGGTTATAGAACTCGGCTAGCAGACAGCTCTAGTAAAGCAAGACAGATAGGCAATTCTTCAAGTCTACAGAAACCAGTTCTCATTCCAAGACTGGAAATGAATATGGGAATAAGCCATTACTTTTAATGAGACAATTCTTCACTGTCTCCATATCTATGCTGGGAATACACAGGGTTGGTCATAAAAGAAGCAAACTTTAAAACTTCAAACTCTTAACTCTTGGTGATGTAGCCATTAGCCATCTGCAGCCTTAGTAGTAGGGTAACAACTCCACCAGACTTGCCACTCTAAATACAGCAGCCATAGAGGGAGCTCCAGATGCTCCCATTGACCCCGCTTCTTCCTAATCCCAAAGCTGCTCCTCCTACAAAAGGGCTGCTCTAGGTCAGCCGGCCAGGTCTACCGACTCTGTTTATATTTCTTTAATAATCTGCCATTCGGTATTAATTGGGGAATTCTCCAAAATAAGTTGATTCTGAAGTGCTAGATGATGGGAAACTATTTTAACCACACGGCTGAAGTTTCCACTTAACAAGGAGGATGTAGGGGGAAACCATGTGCTACCAGCCTGGTGTTTAACGGGCAAGTGTCAGGCTGAGACCCAATGTGAACACTCCTGATGGGGCCCAGGAGTGCAGGCCACACAGCCATCACTTCCACATGCTCCAGGCATGTTCACGCTGCTTCTCCTGAAGCCAGGCATGGCCACTGAAACCGTATCCCTGAGCTCAAATACACACAGAAAACCACAGCTGTGCAGAACGAGGCGGGCGGGCACACGGACACCAAAGTGAGGGATAAGCAAGCAACAACACAAAACCTAAGTCAACTAGGTGTACCCAGCAGTCCCTGAGGCTCCTCTTCCTGGCCCGCTTCTTTATCCAGCTTCCTTTTCCAACCCTTCTTTGCATATGGTGAGACTGCAGAACTCATTGCAGGGCAGGAAACTTGGGAAATATTAAAAGCACTTATCACTCCTTAGCACACGGTCTGTACAGACAGAAGCGGCCTGACTTCCAGAAGGCACAGACCCAAGCTACAACCAGGAAGAGGGCAAATCCGATTCCCACAAGCCTTTAAAACTGCCAACCACACCCCTCCTCCCCTTACACGGCCCAAGGGCATAAGCTTGCAGTCCAGGATGAGCCGGGCATAGTTTTAGGTGCCATAGAAGGTACAACAGTCACGAACCCACTTCATGAAGACGCCTGGTGCTCATGCTTTCAGAGAAGAGTAACTGGACACAAGCAAACTGCAAATCCTTGGCCCACCAAGCACTCCCCTTTAGATGACAAAGCCTGTGTGGCTGAAGTAAAAGCGCTGGCGGCGGCAGAGAAATGTAGGGTGCTTCTGCAAGACAGCACCTGAATGAATAAGGGGGGTAGGGTCAGAGTGTACAACAGTACGGAAGACGCACAAATAGAGAGGCTAGCAACTAATCATAATGCTGAGGAAAACAGCGGCATCAGAAAAAGAAAACCAGGAAGGCCAAGATCAGTGGTTTTACCTGACAACCAAGGGACACCACTCCCCTCCACTGGGGTTGAGTCTCAACTATCTGAATGGTTTGGTTTGGTTTTGTTGTTTTATGTATGCAGTGTTCTGCCTGCATATATGCCTGCAGGCCAGGAAAGGGCACCAGATCACACTACAGATGGTTGTGAACCACCAAGTGGTTGCTGGGAATTGAAACAGGACCTTTGGAAGAGCAACCAGTGCTCTTACACACTGAACCAGCTCTCCAGCTCCCTTTCGTTTGTTTTAAGGAATGTGCATAACAACTTCCTTCTGAGATGGGTTTGAAGAAGACCACAGATACACTTTTCAACAAGGAAAACATCCCATTTAAGAGCAGGTGCCAATTTCGAGACCAGCCTGGTCTACAAGAGCTAGTTCCAGGACAGGCTCCAAAACCACAGAGAAACCCTGTCTCGAAAAACCAAAAAAAAAAAAAAAAAAAAAAAAAAAGAGCAGGTGCCAAGGGACTCTAACCAGTAACCTATCTGCCTGTGTGACTAGTGAAACTTGTGTGCCATTTCCTCTTTAACTGCTCCCCTCTCTCTTTTTTCCCCCTGAATTTCTATTGAGGTATGTTTGTAACAGACATTTATTGGTGGTTGCAATGGCTAATGCCTGACAAAAAGGAACCCAAAACAATGAGCTGTCTGTGCTATTCTGTGAACATTGAAACAAGATTTCTGATACATGAGAAGCTGTCCAAGGAGGCTTAGGTGAGCTGGATCAGGACATTGAGACTTGTGTGAGGTGCCCACCTAATTACCCACTGATGATTCCAACTTGTCCTAAGGCCCCAGAAGAGTATCTAGCAACAAATCAAACCCAAATCATGACTTCAAGAGGCTCTGGCCATAAAGGTGAGCTGCAGACATGTCGCCCATGTGCCCAGTCCTTCACTGGCTCACTACCAGTTTACACCATTCCTGGAGTGGCCCTTACCTGCCTAGTTACCCAGCACATTCCCCCGTAGCACGATTAATAAAAACCCAGAGGCAGATACTGAGGTTCAACCTGAAGATCAAAAAAACCACTAGAGAGCTTTGAAATCTTAGGACTGAAAGAGAGCGAGTTCCTGTCCATCACACCGTATATGTCTCTCAGGTGCTGGGGTTAAAAGTGTGCAGCACCACTCAGCTTCTATGGCTGACTAGTGAGGCTGTTTTGTGTTCTGTTCGTTAGGCAAGAGTTATTAAAAAACAAATAAAATACCATGTTTCCCTTTTTTGTCTAAAAATGAAAAAAAGGCTATAACTAAAATAAGAAAAGCTATATATAGTAAGTACAATAACTATATTCAATATATACAGGCAATAAATACATCAACAGTGTCTAGTCCATTTGCACTGGACAAATTCAGAGAAAATACTCCATTAGTTATCCTATCTTGGTGAGGTTACCTAATTTACTTTCTATTATAACTTGCATTCTGCGTCAGGAAAACTATAACTATCAAGTCTTCAACTCCCTCTGAAACCCAAGAAGGAACTAATATTGACTGAAAAAGTAGGAACTGCAAGCAAGTGACTTCCAAAAAATGTGAGAAATGACAGAAACAGCTGGCTCCCTGAACAGTCACCTGAAGTTTCTCAGCAATGCTGGGACATCCATCTTTAGCCTACAGGTCTACAATATCAGACAGGATACTTTCCTAGGAAGCAGGACATTCTGAAGGGCTGTCCCGCCTTATCTTGACAGTGTTCAGCAGTCACTCTCTGTTGTGTCCTGCTTGTCCAACTAGGACAGCATACTGTCAGCAGGTGAGGCGTGCCCAGTGACATGCTTTTGCCACAAAGACAGTAAACTCCATGTGGAGTTTCTTCAAAGCCTATTATCTTCTCTAAAGTGGATTGGTACTGCCAAGAGTAGACGTCTCATTGTCATAAAAAAAGGAAAAAGAACCAATTTTATTAAAACTTCTTAAATGCCATATTCTGTAGATCTCTGAAGTGTTTGAATGCGACCTGTATATCTAAAATATATCTGTTTCACATTGAAAACATACCTAAAGTGACAAGATTGATTGTAATAGGTGATTAACTACTAACCTGCATTTCGTTAGTATTCTAAACAATTGGTAAATATAATTTTCAAAGACTAGAAATTTGCATTACATTGTTAAATGAGCTTTATAGGTACAATACCTTGAATAAGATTAGAAACGTACGTATAATGTTTTTTTAAAAATTAATCTCAAATTTGTATCACTATGCAAAATTTGTATACAATATACAAAAGTCCAACCCAATGTAAAACATTTAAAACTAGTAGATTCAATAATCTACCTTTTTATCTTATCATATCTATATCCTCCCTTTTTTCTTTTCAAAATAGATTTTACCCTTTTATCATATCATATCCATATCCCCCTTTTCTCTTTTCAAAACAAGAACTCTGAGTCTAATCTCCTTTGTTCAACTTTCCTCCTGGCTATAACGAATAACAACTGGTAACTAACCCCCCTAAACAATGACAAATATCCATAAACCACTGAGCAACCAAAAACCACACATCTCACCTCTTGGAAATGTGGGCATAGTATTCTTAAATTTTATTTCCTGCTCTCTAGGGAGTGACAGTATCTTTAGGGGATCCTGAAAAGAAAAATTGGGGTTAATTGTTAAATACTGGGAGAGGTATTATTTGTTATCCAGTCTCTGTGCAAGGGGAAAGTGCAGGGCTTGTTTAAAGTACCGTTAGACTGGATCGGATCGTCTAAACTAGCCACCTCAACATTGTTCTGAGTAGCTTGTACTAAAAAAACAATCATTAGGTGGTGTTTTTCAGGTTAGTGGTGTTATCATGGTCCTGCGGGAATCATCATTGTGGGGCCTCATCCTCCTTTTGGAGACTTCAAAGGCTTAGGTGTGCTCATGGTTCACTGCAGAAAACTGATGGTACTCAAACCTGAAATCATGTACAGTAAGGTAGATGAAACCTTTTTGTAGAATTAGTTAGTACTCTCTATGACCATTAACATCATGGCAAAAAGTTTAATTAATATATATATATATACCTTATAAATCTTATACCCTAAGAAAACCTGTTAAAAAGTCAATATAAAACCAGAAGATTACGAGATTAGTAGCAACAAAATAGTCCTTAATATTTGTATGTCTTCTGTCCCATATCAGGTGACTTTTCTGACATGAGACAGAAATTTTG